ACTTTTCTTTGGGCTGACGACGTACCAACCCGTTCACATGGAGGAGGCGGCATTGTTCTTCGATAATGGTTTACGCAGGGCGATTGAGGACATTGTGATTTGTGGTGACCCCTTCTTTGGCGACTTGCTTCCCTACCCATTAAGTTTGGTGGTTTGGGTTTATACTCAGCAGTAGAGGCTACCTCATATGCTTTTGTTACCTCAAGGGCCCAATCTTTGGTATTGCTAGACCACATCTTACGGGATAGTGGCATTTATGGTATCGATTCTGATTATGCTTGTGCCTTAGATTCTCTTCGTAAAAAGCTTCCGGACATTGACCTTAGCAGTTTTACTACTAAGGACACTGCCCCCCCCTAAATCCCAGAATACACTCGCGAGTGCCCTTTTTAGTAAAATTATCCAAGATATGGAAATGAATTTCAATATGACGGCTCAGCAGAAAGCAGTTTTCCAGTGTTTACGTGCACCACATGCTCAAGATTTTCTTCTAGCTATCCCTATAGATGGGCTTGGCCAACATATGTCTTCGGTGGAGTATCATACCATCGTCAGATATCGAATCATGATTCCTATATTCCCAGCCGATGGGATATGTCCGGTGTGCCGCAAGTCATATTTGGACTATTTCGGCGAGCATGCAGTTCACTGCAAAGAACTCTCGGGGTTCAAATACAGACACGATATGGTTACGGATGTTTTGGTCGACATATGTAAGCGTCTCGGGGTTTCCGCCAAGAAAGAGGCTCCTTTGAATTTTCTGACTGACCCAACATAAGGAAGGTCAACCCTTAGACCGGCTGACGTTTTGATTTTTGGATGGGTTGGAGGGAAACACGCATATGTGAACCTTACAGGGGTATCCCCTCTCTTAAGTTTGAGGGTCGGGGGCTTCACGGCGGGACAGGTTGCATTAAAAACTGCTACTTGCAAGGTCACCAAACATGAGAAACCGTGCATGGAAAATCAACACGCGTTCATAGCATTTGCATTTGATACGTTTGTTTTCTTTGCGCCGGATGCGGTGGAGCTTCTTAGTAGACTACAACGGATCATGCATAGTCATGTTATATCCCCTAGATCTATGTATGTAGTTTTCAAAAAATTGGTTTTACCATACAAAAGGGTTTAACAGCGCAACTTGTTGTCCGTTTGCCTTCTCATTCGTTGTATGATGATAACTAAAACAATTAATATTTTAAAACAAAAGGAATATGTTAATATATTATCATATATTTAATAAAATAAAATAAAAGTTTACTATACCATATAATAAAGAACCTAACATGTGATCCATGTTAGGTTCTTTAATCATAAAAGTCACATCGGTCTTCAATCATAAAAGACCATTCACTACGAAATGATTATCCAAAAACATTCGAATACCCATATTGAAATATTACCCCTTTTTATAATTGAAATATGCTTAACAAACTCTAAAGAATGAGAAAGTGCTCATAGTGGACTTTGGTCCAAAAAATCTTAAAAAGACTATTATGCTCTTTTACTTTCTATTTTACATTTCTTTTAATTTATTTCTTATTTTATTAATATTAAAAATAATTTAAACCCCCACCAACCCCACGACCTCTCTCTCTCTCTCTCTCATCATCATCATCATTATCTTCTTACTTCTTCTAGAAAATCAAACAATTACTCACAATACATAACTACACATCAGTAAAACGACCATGATACCCTACTACACTTTAGTAAAACGATTACTCAAGCAATCGTTCCTCTAGGTGTATGTGAAGATCGTTATGCTGAAAGAATTACGTCAGTTTCTTTTCTTCTCACTCTGAATCGATGGCATGTTATGATGGGTGTAACAAAGTTGTGAAGAACAAAGGATTATGGGTGTAAATCATTAACCCTATATTCTTTTTTTTTTAATCTCAAGCTTCAGGCGAAGATGCTAAAGAATATGGGTAGATATGGTGATTCTTATCTTGTAGGGGATGAGCTTAGATTTGTACCTTTCGAACACCAAGTCTCCAAATTATCATCAGATCTAACATAGAGAATGAGAGACGAGTTCAAGTGTTTTAGGATTTCAGTATATATTTCGAATTTCTGAATGTAAGCTTCAATTCCTGTCCATGGTCGTTTGTTCTTGAAGGTGGGCAAAAAAAATTGAAGAACCAAGTTTTTTTAAGGGTCTCCTTATGCATATAATCTGTTTGGAAAGAAGATTGGGATAAATCGATTACTGTTTTTTTTTTTTGGATCATTCATTCTCGCAGGTAGAAGCCACGAAACACTCTCCCCCTTCTACTTTGATCTGGGTTTTTTTATTTTGAGAACTTATTGGGTTATTGTCTTACTCCTCCGATTGAAGTTGAATGCGAATAGGTGGAGCCTTGAACTTGCACCAAATTTTAAGTGAATCTAACGGAAACTATGTTTGCAAACTGATTGAAACTTCAGATTTTGGTTATAGGTTTTGAGGAAATTAAACGATAACTTGGTGTGTGTGAGAGAGAGGGGGGGGGGGAGGGGGTGGGGGCGAGGTGGAGCGCGAGTGGGGGGATAATTCTTTTCTTTTCTTTTTATTTTTAAAGTGTTAGAATAATTATAAAATATACAAAAAAGAAAATTAAAGGGCATAATAGTCTTTTCAATAATTTTTGGACCAAAATCACATGAAGTTTTTGATTTTGGACCTTCCATGCATGTTGAAAACTTTTTGGACCTTATCCAAAGTTTTTCATAAACCACAAGGACCAATTTTGTAGTTTTGTCCTTTTAATATATTTAAACCTTTGCCCTTATGTAGCACCCACTCTAGCATAATTTTAGAGACAATTACAAGCTTCTTCTCCATGCATGGTACCTGGATGATGATACACTTATTGGAGATTTCGAGGAGGTCGCCAAAGCCTTAGGAATCATTAAGGCTATTGGCCCACAATTGGGCCTTCAGTTGAATATCAAGAAAACCGAGCTCTTTTGCCATCATTTGATGGAAGGAAGCTATGTGAGGGGTTATTCCCGGTTGGCATCGGGAGGCCGCCATTGGGGGTTAAACATCTCGGGGGAGCTGTTAGTAGAGATGCTAGTTTCATTAGCAACTTAGCCATAAAGAGTTCTGAAGGCGCTGTGAATTTGATGTGCCTTCTTCCACAATTGTCTGACCTGCAGAGTGAGCTCCTTTCTACTTCGGTCTTGTATGGGTATTGCTAAACTTTTCTTTGGGCTGACGACATACCAACCCGTTCACATGGAGGAGGTGGCGTTGTTCTTCGATAATGGTTTACGCAGGGCGATTGAGGACATTGTGATTTGTGGTGACCCCTTCTTTGGCGACTTGCTTCCCTACCCATTAAGTTTGGTGGTTTGGGTTTATACTCAGCAGTAGAGGCTACCTCATATGCTTTTGTTACCTCAAGGGCCCAATCTTTGGTATTGCTAGACCACATCTTACGGGATAGTGGCATTTATGGTATCGATTCTGATTATGCTTGTGCCTTAGATTCTCTTCGTAAAAAGCTTCCGGACATTGACCTTAGCAGTTTTACTACTAAGGACATTGCCCCCACTAAATCCCAGAATACACTCGCGAGTGCCCTTTTTAGTAAAATTATCCAAGATATGGAAATGAATTTCAATATGACGGCTCAGCAGAAAGCAGTTTTCTAGTGTTTACGTGCACCACATGCTCAAGATTTTCTTCTAGCTATCCCTATAGATGGGCTTGGCCAACATATGTCTTCGGTGGAGTATCGTACCATCCTCAGATATCGAATCATGATTCCAATATTCCCAGCCGATTGGATATGTCCGGTGTGCCGCAAGTCATGTTTGGACTATTTCGGCGAGCATGCAGTTCACTGCAAAGAACTCTCGGGGTTCAAATACAGACACGATATAGTTAGGGATGTTTTGGTCAACATATGTAAGCGTGTCGGGGTTTCCGCCAAGAAAGAGGCTCCTTTGAATTTTCTGACTGACCCGACAGAAGGAAGGTCAACCCTTAGACCGGCTGACGTTTTGATTTTTGGATGGGTTGGAGGGAAACACACATGTGTGGACCTTACTGGTGTATCCCCTCTCTTAAGTTTGAGGGTCGGGGGTTTCACGGCGGGACAGGTTGCATTAAAAGCTACTACTTGTAAGGTCACCAAACATGAGAAACCGTGCATGGAAAATCAACACGCGTTCATAGCATTTGCATTTGATACGTTTGTTTTCTTTGCGCCGGATGCGGTGGAGCTTCTTAGTAGACTACAACGGATCATGCATAGTCATGTTATATCCCCTAGATCTATGTATGTAGTCTTCAAAAAAATTGGTTTTACATTAGAAAAGGGTTTAACAGCGCAACTTGTTGTCCGTTTGCCTTCTCATTCGTTGTATGATAATAACTAAAACAGTTAATATTTTAAAACAAAGGAATATGTTAATATATTATCATATATTTAATAAAATAAAATAAAATAAAAAAAAGTTTACTATACCATATAATAAGATCCTAACATGTGATCCATGTGATCGAGCCTGAAGTGAAAGTCTTCGGTTCCTTAAAAAAATACGTTATTGAAAAGCCCATTAACTCATTTTTTATTGCGTACTTTAAGACCTTTTCTGACATTTCCTGTATTTTAGTGACACTTCTTTTTACCATTAAGTATCATTTTATTTTTAATGTTTATTTCGTAAAAACAAGTTCAATTTTAGAAAAATATTCAAAAAAATCCAAATGAACCAGAAAATGGAAGAGGTGTGAACAAATATTCTTCATATCATTTTAAAATGTTTATAATTTTTGAGGACTTGAATAATTAAAAAGGAAACCATGGGCAATATTATAATAAGTGAACATTAATTTCTCCAAATATTCGCTATATTTTCTTAGAATATTTTAATTTTGCAGGAGTTGGAATTTGAATAAAGCCATGACAATTAAGTAGTGCCTGTAAGCAAACTCCATTCTATATTATTGACAGCCAGTGGGTGCTTCTACCATAACCAACCTTCCTCACCAAAATCATAAGACAATGGCTTCTTCATGGCTAAACCTTGAAAATTATTCAATTCCTTTGGAGGAGATCAATCTTGCCACCGACAACTTCAATCCACAAAGATGCATTGGAGGTGGTGGATTTGGTTATGTCTACAGAGGACAACTCTCAAAACACTGGCAAGATCGCATAGTTGCTATCAAACGCCTAGCTAAGGATAGCTACCAAGGGGAGCGCGAATTCCGCAACGAGGTCGAGAAGATTTCCGGATTCTACCATGAAAACATCATCTCCTTCCTTGGTTATTGTGATGAAGATAATGAGATGATTATAGTTTATGAGTATGCAACAAATGGAAGTCTTGACCATCATCTCAAAGATCAAAATAAGATGTGTTGCATAACATGGATACAGAGGCTGAAGATTTCCCTAGAGGCAGCTAGCGGTCTCAATTATCTTCATGCGGGTCCTGGGGAGCATAAAAGCGTAATACACCGAGACATCAAGAGTGCAAATATTCTGTTAGATGACAATATGGTTGCAAAAATTTGTGATTTTGGGTTGTCAAGATCAGGAACCAAAAGTCATCCAAGTAGCCATATATATACAAAGGTTGCGGGTACCCAGTATTACATAGATCCCACTTACATTGAAAGCCGCATCCTCCGTAAAGAGTCGGACATATACTCCTTAGGTGTGGTACTGTTTGAAATGCTCACTGGGATGCTGGTTTATCGTCCAAGTAGAATCGGAGAGGATAATACTAAGACTGACTCTCTCATAAAGTTGGTTCGAAAATACTATCCCAAGGAACCCGACAGATTAATTGATCCATGTATAAAAGATCAAATTAGTAGTCGTTCCTTTGATACGTTTAAAAAAATTGCATGGCAATGTATTAGTTATGATTTTAAGAAACGACCTACGTTAGACATGGTGATGAAGAGGATCCAGGAAGCATTGGATATTCAAGTAAGTGTTTTTCTTATAATTATTTCGAAAGAAATCTTGATTCATATGAAAAAAGAAAAATATCATTGACTTGTACAAGAAAATTTTGGTTTAATTTTATGCTACTATCAATGTTTTGAAAACCAGACCGGACATCAAACCGGTTGTCTTACCGGGTTGATGGTTCAATTGGTTCGACCTGTCGGACCAGTCCTAAAAACCGGATGAACCCAACCACGTCATATATATATATATATATATATATATATATATATATATATATATATATATATATATATATATATATATATATTAACATTATTTTTGTACTTTTAAAATGAAACAACACCTTTCAAAATTCTAATTCTAATAAATTATATGCTAACTCTTTCTCAAAATTTTGTAATTAACGTGATGAAAAAAAAAGTAAAAACAAAAATATTAGCTTTTGTTGAATGTAGAAGAGGATGTTATCCCACATTGACAAAAAATGAAAGTGAAGGCCTTAAAGAGCATTATAAAAGGAAAGGGGTGATAGGATTTTCTAAACGCAAATGTTCGGATCTACATTTTGAAGGTGTGGGTCCCCTCAACCATTTTGTAGTGTAAATTTTATAATGAAAAAATTTCTGCCGATTTTTTTCTGGTTTGACTGGTGCGGTTTTTACCGGTTTTTGTATGAACCGCTGGTTCTTAACCGGTTTGATTGAAAGCGGTTTTCACTGGTGTCCTGACTGGCTCTTGGTTGAACCGGCTGGTTTGGTTCGGTTTTCAACCATGGCTATTATTGTATCTAATATTCCGTTTGTTGCATTCTTAAATTGCGTTCTTTTTCTTTTTCTTGTGCGCTTTTCAAGTAGTAGGTTAATTTCAAGAGGTGTTCAAATACAAAAATGTTTATTCATATTATTTTGAATATAGTTGCAGGAAAATGTTTCAGCCCATTTTGAGCGTATTGGGAAAGACAATGGATTTAATCATGGAAAACCTGTTGCAGCGTTTACCATATACAAATTGCTTCTTCATCCGAATTACATTGAAGCTGAAAAAACCAAGTTTTTTGAACGACTTTTACAGATATTTGTTACAGCAGATAAGGTACTTCAATGGTAAACAAAAACTTTTTAGAAATCAAGCTATGTCAAGGCATTAACTGCTTAAAGTAATTAATCTAGTTACGTTGCAAGAAAGATACATGAAAGAATTCTTAGCCCTTTTACCTAAGAACGTGGTAGCATGATTACAACTACATTGACAGATATTTAGTTAATTGAGACATCTTTATTTTATTCGATCTTACTATTCATTGCCTCTATTTTCAAGTTAACGTTAAAAATAAAAATATCTGTATTAGTTTTATGAAGCAACGAAATCATTAAAAATCTTCTCCATCAAAAATAAAAAACAAAAAACAAATAGAACAGGGGGATTACATAAGGTTTATAGCAAAGTGAGGGTTTTTAAACAACACAGTCCAGTTATGTTTACATCCATGCTTTATGGTAAAATTCCAAATAAGTGAATGAGAGATAACCCAATCCAACATCTCTCCCAGTTTGGGTTTAGGAACGCAAAAAAAAAAAACAATCTAGTCCTTAAACGTCCAGATTGCCCAAATGTGACACCCTATGACATGAGCATTAGATGCTCCTTGAAACACCAGAATGTGTTGTGTTGACAGTTCACCGTGTTACTTTGCAGTACCAAATATCCAATCGGGGGACGGAGTATTGGTTATCATGTGCATCTAATCTATTATTCTTAATCCAAAGAAGTCTAAAACTTGATGCTGCAAGTTCAGTTCAGGAACCACCACCTTCAACTTTGGTAGGAGAAATGATAACATTATCGATTTTTATTATTACCGATTTCATCATTTAAACTTAGTTATTTATGCTCTATGATATGGTATTATACTTTTATATTTACTAACATAGTTCACCCTTCTGTCCACCTTATATATTGAGGCTGAGGATGAGATTGTAGAGCAAGTTCAAGTCAGAAACCAAGTGCTACATTTCAAGGATCAACTAACAAAGTATCTTGAGTATATGTGCAACATTATTTTTGATGACATGAAGAAAGAGCTGCGACTATTACTTGCATTGGCTATTCAGGTACTTGAATTCTGATTCGTTCTTGTTGGGCTTGGAAATCCCCCTATGAAATACTAGAATAGAATTACAATGCAAGCAGCAACCGTCTCTCAACTATTACAAAACTACAATCTAATTTTCTAACATTTACTCGAAATGTTCCACTCTAACTACTGTATTTTTGGGATTATTTACAAGCGAGGTTTCCTTTCCTAGTTAAAACACCCATTATTTAATGTGTTCGCCATAAGGGGAGAAGAAGTTGTCATACTAGACTCTCTTTTGTCAACAAAAGAGGTTTGGCTTTAAAGGGTTATTCACAACAAGTTCTCCCTCTAATCTCCATCCAACAATCGTCAATACAACTATGTCGGCACATAGTCTATGTTTCTCAAATATCACCGGCTTAGTCAACATGTTTGTAGGATTTTTATTTGTGTTGATCTTTGAAAACTTCAATTCTCCTTCTCGATTTCTTCATTAAGTCAATGATAATAGAAATCCATATGTTTTCTGTGATAATATTATGTTGAGTTCATGCCCTAGTCCATATATAGGACTTTCACTATCATAATGGATGTCTACCCTTGTGGAAACCACAATTGTGGAACGCACCATCTTAGCCATACAAGTGAGGTTAAACCTCATATAAATAGGGTTACATAAGAGACCTCATATAAATAGTGAGATTAAACCTCATATAAATAGATTGTTTTATTGATAAATAGTGAGGTTAAACCTCATATAAATAGGGTTACATAAGAGACCTAATCGAAACCCTAAAGGACTTGGGCCTAAACCCTAATCACTAACATTTCCAAGTTCAATTACAATAATGTAGTTGCCCTCTTTTTGTCTGCTAGACACTTTTGCCACATGGATTTCTACAAGATCACCCCACCTGCTTTCAAAGTTAAAATATAACTTGATGTAGACTTTGTATCTCAAAATATCCTTCCATATCGACATATATATAACCTTTCATCGCTCCTCCATAGCACAAACAAATTTTTTAACAACCCTTTATGTATCAAAATATCCAGTTGACTACTTCCCAATGTTGCTTTCATGGATTTGATAAATATCTACTCACAACACCAACAATGTGATATATATGGTCTTCGACACACTATCGCATATACAAGGCTTGCTACAATGGAGAGTATGGGGATTCTTTCATCATACGGTCAAACCATATTTTTTTATCATGGATAATTTGCATGTCTAATATTTGTTTGTTGGGAGTAAGTTTTTCATATCAAATAGCTTAGACAAAACCATTGCCTAGTTGTTGGTCATGGTTTCATCTTGGCCCGCTATTAATATACCATCCACATGGAACAAAATCCTGACCAAATTCCCAATCAAAATCTTCTTAAGGCACAGGTACATTTTTTTCTACAAAATTACGTGGTGGTTTTTGTTGTACAAGCTTCTCATGGCTCATAATAAGCACTATATAAGATTTATAGACCTTATGGGAATAATATATGCTCACCTCCATAATTTGAGTATATTCATTTCATTTGCCTGACTGTTTGTATTTCCATCGTTACATTAACGATTTGAAAAGTTCCAAGACTTCAGCCTTCGACTTTATACAATAACTGTATAACTTTCACATCACATCATCGATGAGTGTCAGAAAATAACTACTTCTACCAACATATTGTACTTCAATCAGTCTACACACATTGGAGTGGCTAAGGCTCAACAACCGAATCAATTTTTTCTAGTAGAGCTAAAGGAAATTCTATGTTGTTCCCCAAATATGAAGTGTTTGCATGGATCTTATGAAATATATTTGCTATTGGAATGTAGTCTTTCTTTGAATGAGTTGCCAATCCCTTCATGTTGGTGTGCCTTAGTAGTCTACGCCATATGTTTGGTAATGTCACTTATTCCACAACATTAGGACTTGGCTGAAGCAGCTTTACATGGTTCTTATAAAGAGTACCCGACAATCAAGGGCTCTAACTGATCCAGTCGTAGCTTTGGGATATGTGAACTTCTTTTAGTATCGGCTCACATCTTACATTAGTTTTATATGCATCATCAATTCCAGCAACGCTCAAAGAATTTGTGTTTCATATCTTCATATTGTTACGGTCTCTAAGTTTAGAAGTAGTGAAAAAATTGTCAATTTGGAGTGTCATGCTATAATGCAACAATATCAATAAACCACTCATCATCATGTGTATTTACATGTAGACATGCTTCATTTTCGTATGCAACAAGCACAATATGATGTGATAGTGATCATGGTTTCACCTATTAGGTCATGGGAATATAAAAGACACAAAGGCATGGCGGAAGCATAAAATAACGCGATCTGATGAAGCGAACAGTAGATCCATGTTCAACATATTTAATTAAAAAAAAGTAAACAACCATCGAGGCATAAAGAATACGTACCTTCTTAGCCTTTGATTTCTTTTGTTTAGCTAGTTAATTTGATGAGTAGAATCCAAAGTAGGGTCTCTTTGGTGTGGTCACACCCAAAGAAAACATGAAACCAACCATTATAATCACTAGAAATCGCCACTATAAATAAAATAACATTTAGTGGCATAGAAAAAGTGTCACTAAAAACTGAAAAAGTGCCACTAAAAGTCCCTTAGGGGAATCAGTGGCACAAAAGAAAGTCACTAAAAGCACTGCCACTAAAGGCCTTTAGTGACAGTTTTTGGTTGTGCCCCTTCAACCTTATTGCGTTTTAGTGGCACTTTACGATTATGTCACTAATGCAATTGTAACTTTTAGTGACACTATTTTTGTGACACTATTTAACTGCTAAAATAAATATTATGTTCATACTTTTAGTGTCACTTCTTTTAACAAAAAAATTATATTAATAAATTTGGTCAAATTTTTTTAACTTTAAATGGAATATAATATAACAATAAGAAAATTATGATAATAAACTGAAACATAACATCATTACATCAATTAAAGCTTGTCTAAAACAACATTCACAATATATTTAAAACACAAACATCTAAAAAAAAGAATTCTAAATGTTGTGCAAGTACTCAATAAACTAAATACTTTTGGGGAGGAAACATGAAACTTGATTGACCTCAAGCTTTGTTTAATTTATCCTTTTATATATCCAACTTGTGATCGATTGCTTATCATATTATGATAACCTTCAAAAGCACTGAAAATAAACCATGTATAATAGAAAACAAACAAAATTTGGGAATTTTAGTTAATACAATACCATCAAGTAGCTATGGAAAGTAGTGGTTTCATTTCATTAAGATCTGCAAAATAAGATTACATTATGGTTAAAAGGAGAGACTACAACTAGAAGGTGGTATATTTAATGGATGCTTTACATTCACATGATTTATCAAATAAACATAATAAAACAACAGAGTTTAACACACACCGGAAGCTCTACATGATTCATCAAATAAACATAATGAAACAATAGTGTCTAACACACACCGGAAGCTCTACACCACTCATCACATAAACAAGACTTTGTAGTGCTTTGAAAAAATTATGAAATTCAAAAAAATAAAAATAAGCATATTTTCCCACAACCCATGAAACATAAAAAATAATATTTTAAAATAATGTTTATAACTAGAAAAGGAATAATATGGCCCACTAGACTACTAAGCCTAAGGAAACATGTCAAAGTAACATGTGCTCAAGCTCATATATATATAAGGTTCAGTTTGTTTTAATTTAACACATAATATTCCAATAGAAAGAAGTGTACAATCCTTTTGTCTATAAGGCTTAATCATAACTATTGCACTCTTGTATCTGATATAAAATACACCATTACAAACATTCACAATTTTGTAATACAAAATTTACCATTACATAGTCACATCCAACATAGCACGACCATTAAGCAAAATATGAAAACATAAAAAATAGACTAGAAATTAAAAATAGCACTAAATAAAACAAACATTTCCAAGTGAATGTAAGCCTTTTTTTATGACAAATGACTCAAAATACAAGAAAAAGACCTTAATCCATTAAATCTAATATGAGGTTGAATGAGGTATTTAGCAAGTTGACATATCAATAAAAATAGCTCTATTTTCTACTTTCTTTATATCCACATATTCACATCAAAGAGTACTACAACTTTCCTTTAGATCACAACAACTAATTCTCAACATATTTTTACCTTATATTTTAGGATGGTTACACAACTAATTTTTTGCAAAAACTCATAACTTCTTCATATAAACTTTGTTATTGATATTCTCTATATCGACAGATTCATATTAACGAGAAATTCAACTCTCAATTGCATCATTTTTGCTAACGAGAAACCAATCTTCGATTCACTTTTTATGACAGACATCGATGTGTTAGACTGAACACAAAATTTACAAAAATCATAATTTCCTCATACGAAGTCAAATTTAGTCGTTCTTTCTACTCACGAAATCATCATCACATCTAGTACAACTATCGTCACGACTACTTATTCTAAATATTTTCTTTTATTCTTAAATGTTTATTTAACGTAATTCATTAAATATATAATATAGTTTTATAGAAAAATTATAAGTCCATAATAGTTGTATATAAAACATGTACGCAATATATAAATATCATTAATATAGCCTGTATCGCCTAAAAATGATTCTTAATTATTTGTGATTATCCAATTTCAGGATTCAATTATTTGATAAAACAAGTATTTATAATTTATAATCCTTAAAAGTTTGAACCCGAATTTACGAGCATTACACTGTCCTCCTCCATAGCACAACCATATTTTCTTAACTGTCTTAGTCTTATAGGTATCAAATATCTAGTTAAGTACTTCCCATTTTTTATTTCTTCGATTTGATAAATATCTGCTCAGAACAGAAACAACGTGAGAAATATTTGGTCTTGGACACACTATCGCATATATAAGACTTCTTCATGCCAGAGAGTAAGCGACTTCTTTTGTCTTCCATTAAAAATAGTTTTACTGGTTTTTTACTGTGGATAAATTTCATGCTTGATATTTGTTTCTTTGGCCCTAAGTTTTTCATATCAAACAATTAGACAGACCCTTTTCCAAGTTGTCTGTCATGCTTGCATCTTGGCCCGTTATTAACATACCATACACATAAAAGGATGACAAATTTCCAATCATGAGACTTCTTTAAGGGAGCTGCCCATGGAACCCCCGCATCATGAGTTCACATTTATCATTCC